GGGGAATAAATCTTCCTGGGTGTGAGAGGCAGAGATGTGGGTAGTAGGAAGTACCCATCAGTGAGTAGAATGGGAAAGAGCATACACCACAGCCACTCTTTCACCTTCAGGCCTCAGTTGCCATCAGCTGTCTCTAAGAATGGAATTGCATCATTTCCCAATATAAAGTTTGGGGCCATTTCCAAGATAGGCAAATTTGGAAGACAGAAATCACTTTGGTAGCTGCTTCCTCTCCTGAAATTTGTCATCTATGGATTTGATATGTTCAGAAATGTTTTTCTGGAAATTTTGGGGCCAAATTTCTTTTATAATATTATAGAAACTTCCTCATGTGAATAGCATGTTACTATCGGTTGCATACAAGCTCTGTGATCCTGAATCTTACCATTCTAACTTTAACACTTTTAACAGTAAAAAGGCATTAATAATTATACAAGGACAATTTCCATTAAACCAAGACTCAACTAGGGAAGTCAGGAATTGTAATCACCCTAATAATAATAGAAAGAACTAGAATATTCTAGCTATGACCTAGGGCTCGGAACAGCCCATGAGGCTATAATGTCTCCCTTACTCTTCTTGTCCTGGGTGGGCATTGATAAGTCAGCCAGATTTTGTAATGGCTGTGGGAGTTCACTGTGGTATTCTGGTAAGAACTACATGGGCATCTTTCAGACCTGCCTGAGTCCATCTCTGATGTAATCTATTGGCAGAACATCAGACACCCCCAAAAGCCTGGCTGAGTTGAAGCATGACCACCCTAAGCCATGGGCTTGCTCCCATGTGACCAGCTGCCACTTGCACTGCCCAGTGGTTTTTTTCCAGGTCGCACTTGCTACACCCAAGTTTGGTGGCAGGATGTCAGCGAGACTCAGAGACCTGCCAGTGAGTGACAGCTGAAGGGCAGGGGACATATAGTGTGGAATAGAGAAGCATGTGGAGCCCAAGGGCTGTTATCACATAGACAACTTGCTGCTACAGGAAAGGAGGAGGTTCGTCCTGGGTGTCCAGAGCACTGTACAAAATGGAAATTCCTGGCAAGTAGATTTCAGCTCATGTACATGACTTTGTTACTGTTACTTTAAAACTTTTTAAAAGTTTTATCAGTACACACTTACAGTCCATAATGATGACATTCCTCGTGTGGAGTTGGTACATGTGCACAACACATCTGGACTTTGCTTTCCTCCCTCTCCTTCTCTCTTGATCCCCTTCCCAGTTGAGAAAGATCTTTCTGCCTGATATTATTTTGCTCTTTATTTATTATCTTGGGTTTCTCATAGAAGAGAAATCATTCAATATTTAAATTTGCATATGTTCTTTATTTTAAAAATATCGAACAGTAACAAATTACATAGCATGAAAAGCACAAGTCTTTTTTTTTTTTTTTTTTTTTAAACTCAGTCCCACTCCTAGGAGTACATTTGATTTTTATCTTCCCCTGTCTGTATCTTATCTTGGCACAAAGTCTGCAAAGACATGTATGCCTAACACATGCATCCCTAGAACTCTGATCTACTGTTTAGTGTCAAAAATAGATCCATGAAATGGGCATATCTCAGATGGTAATGAATTCAAAGGGCCTTGCAAATATAAACTTCTGATTTGCAGATGATGTTATGCTGATAAGCTCAGGGAGATGGTCTGAAATTTATGACCTTACTTATTGATGGTTAATCATTAGAGTGCCTCACAGTTTTAGTTAATGATTTGACTTTTTGATGTTGTTGTTTTGAGACAGGTACAGCAGCATTAAGTTGCCCAGGTTGGCCTGAAATCTTAGGCTCAAGCAATCCTCCTACCTTAGCTGCCCAAGTATCTGAGACTACAGCTGCCCACCACCAGGGCTGGCTTAATTAGGTGACTTGGAACGTGGAAATAGACATTTTGTTCTGATACCTCTTCTCAAGAGGAAAGATGTTCAAATGGTTTGAACTGTTCAAAAATATATCAGCTTGTTAAGCAGGAGTCTTAGCCACTGGCTAAGTTCAAGCAGAGACTGATCACAGGTTTGTTCGGAAGTTGTAGAGAAACTTAAAGCTGCAGATGGGAAACAGTGAGAGTTGGGATGGAGGCTTCCAGGCCCCAGTTCAGTTCTCTGATTCTCTGACCTCTGGGGCATGCTCAGCTGGGCTGCCAGAAGATCACAGGCGATGCCCTGTGAACAGGAGCAGCCTCCTGACTCCCACTCCGTGGCAGGACAGCTGGAGGATACACAGCTTTGTGGATTCTGAAGGCCACCCATGGCTGTGCAGCAAGGGACAGTGCTACCTGCAGGCAGCAATTCTTGTTCCAGCTGCTCTTTGAGCAGTAGGAGCTTTCAACTTTGGTACTTAAACTTAAAAGAAAGATTCCTCTATGAACACTAAATTCATTAAATTGCCAGCAAAGACCATACATTCTGAACAGGCTGGCTGGGCAGAAAATGACACCTTCACCTCTTTTTCTATTTTGACATTTCATCAAGGTAGAACTGAGTGGCCAGGAAAGATGATGTTGAAATATTTGACCTTAGCAAAAGACTCTAGACAGAGCTTCAGTGTTCAGTTCAGTCTCTGCTTGTATATGGGATGATGTGTTTCTTTTCTTTTTATTGTGAAAAAATGTGTTTCTGTGAGTATGTGTGTGTGTATACCCCTGAAAGTTGCAAAAAAAGTACATTGAATACCTGTATATTTTATCTGTATTTACCAATTATTAATATTTTGCCAAGCTTGCTTTCTCTCTCATATATATTTATTATTATTATTATTATTATTATTATTATTACTACTACTACTACTGCTGGAAAGTATTTGAAGTGAATTGTAGGCATTGCAGCCTTTCCCACCTAAACACTTAGGCAGGCATCACCTGGGAAGAAAGATCAATGATCAAATTTAAGAAATTTAGCAGTGATATGGCTCTACTTGTGAACACAATCATATTCAAAACTTGCCAGCCTTTCCAGGGTTGTCCTTTATAACACATTTTCTCAGTCCAGAATTGCATGTTCGCATTGAATTGTCACGTTTTTTTGGCCACTTTTATTTGAGAATTGTTCTTCTATGTTTGTCTTCTATCATACGGGCATTTTTGCAGCATGCAGGCCAGCATGCTACTGGATTTGCATTTGCCTGGTGTTTCCTTTGATGTGAGATTCTGAACATGATGCACACACTGTGTTCTCAGGACACGTCACGTTCCGAGCCATCTGACATCAGGTGCCCATTAGCAGCAATGCAAACCATTCACATGGTGCAGTGGCTATCCATGGGATTTATCCAGTCTAGGGTATCTTTCCCTCCTTATAATAAATAATCTATGTGGAGATGCTAATGTTGCCACCTGAATTTCTTTACTCTAAAACTTTTCCTCCTTGTTGTAATAAATGATCTTCATTAGATTGGGCAAAAAAGTCCTTGTTTACAAACAAATGGTTTGACATCCAGAGATGACCTGTGCCTGAGTCAATTATAATATTAGCATGGAAAATAGATGTTTTGGGGAAAGGGATGTTGTAATGTTGAGTTTCTTTGCTGTACTCCCCTCTTCTTGTGATCATCCCCCGCCAGGCATGACCAGGGTCCCAATGGCACTAATTGCTGCCCATCACCCCGGCACTTGAGGTGCACCTGCAGAACAGGGAAGTTATGCCTCAGCAGACTTCCCACTTTGAGAGGCCCACAGTTTCCCTAAATGAATGTGCTCTAAACTGGGCTCCTCACTGCCTCCTTCAAGCCTTTGCCTCCTCAAGACTTCTGATTCTAGTGAATGTCACCACTATCTGTCCAATTGCCCAAGCCAGAGTAAGCTGAGCAGCGTTCTCAATTCCTTCCCATTTTTATATCTCCATATCTAAGCAATAATGAAATTCTGTGTGGTGAGAACTTCCAAATAACTTTAAGACTTTGTCTCCTTTCCATCTGTATCACCACTACCCAGTCCGGGCTACTGCCACCTCTCACTTGCTCTTCCTCAACAGCAGCCCACCTCTCCTCCTGTTTCTAATATTTTCTGTACTGCAATCCATCTGCCTCATGTAAACCAAAGTGCCCTTCTGTCTTCCTTGAGTTCCCTCTTCCATTAAATTCTTTGGTAGCTCCCTATGGCTTTAAGGATCACTTGGCCAGAGAAATCAATCAAAGTTCCCTATCCAGGTGTGCAAGATCATCACAACCTACAGATGGACCACACCCCCAGAAATAGTTTTCATCACAGTGCTACCTTTTACTTCCTGGTTTCATTTCAAGACAGATCAAAATAACCCATATACCTAGAATATGTTCTTGAAAACACATATGCAACTCAGCAATACACTTGTGCTAAGCAACAGTCCCCTAAAAATCACAGAGGGGAGCCTTGAGCTGGTCATTTCCAGAAGTCTGTGGAAAGTTGTGTCCAAACCGTGGATCTTATCTTAATTTTGATAGATACCTGTGGTGCCTTAAACAGTATGTTCCCCAGGGCAGAAGCCATTTAAATAGATGAACCACCAGAGGGCGCACCATGATCCCTTTACAGGCCAGAGGAGGCCAGGGGTCCACATCATTGTGCATATATATTACTGGATTTGTTTAGAACTTCTGACTCCCTATGCATTCCAAATCCCAGGGAAGTCTCTTCCCTTTATTTTTATAACAAATCCATGGTTCCTGGACAACATTCTAAGGAAAAGCATTCTGAACAAAGAAGAAAATATAAACATTTGGCTACTATTCACCTGCCCCTCCCACCCACACAAGAAAGTCAGATTGCATTTTAAATTGTTTCTCTGTAGGTCAGAACTCTTGATTTATTGAAGAAAATTCTAAAACTCTGAATAGTAAATTACTTATAAATATTTGAAAGATCTGTAGAATACTGAGAGTGAAGCAACATGATACAATTAACATTGCCCTTGTACTGAGAATTTACTGTGTTCCAGGTACTATAGTAAGAGGTTTGTATGCATTATAGATAATTTAATACATGTACCTCATTAGTCTTTGAGATTAAGTATTACCATTTCTATTTTGCAGATGAGAAAACTGAGGTCACCCCCCCCCCAGTACTTTGGCAACTTGACTAAGATGACAAAATTGGTATTTGAATGGGGACTACGAGATCTAGAAGTCTGCTTTCCTGCGGCTATCTTTGATCTTCCTCTTTGAAGTCCACCTTCTTCCTTGCAGGGCTTTCCCTTCCTCTTCCTTCCATGCTCACATAAATGTCCAGGGGGGATGCTGGAAAATATGTACTGTGCTCCAGATGCCAATTGTCCCCTGGTTTCTAGATTTTACTTTCTATTCCCAATCAAAAGTGGCCCCTCCTACATCTCATTCACCACATTCCCTTGTGCTGGTGCAGGAAGCACAGAAGAACCTACAGAATCAGAATCTCCAGAGCCAGCAGCCCTGAATGATGTGCAGAACCAGCAATTCATGTGAAACACAAAATGTGTGTGAGAACCTTTTGATGAGGTCGTGTTAGCTTGACCTACAGTGACAGGCCTCTATTCACTAAGTAGGTTTCTTAGCCTATGTAAGTTTCAGTTCCTTTATTTAAAAAGAAGAAAAGTAATATCCATCTCAGTTTTTCTGAGGACAATTAAAGTGTTTGTAAAGCTTTATGTTAAACATACAGTAGATACTTGGTACATTGTTCCTCTCTGAAGGCATAAAGAAAACATCCCAGAAAAGATCATACTTTAAAATGTCAGAAGTCAGAGTGATCTCTCAAATACAAACTTGAAAGCTAGAGGTCCAAGGGGCAATGCTTCCAAAATACTGAGGGAAAAGTCTAACCCCCATTAAAACATAAATTAAGTGGAAGAGTCTATATCAAGCCTAAATACTGAGTAGAAAATTTATACCCAGCCAAACTATCAATTAGATGGAAAATTCTATCCCCAGCCAAGCTATTAATTATCCACAAAGTTATAATACAGCCATTTTAATAAAATTTGACAACCTATGCATCTATACTCAGGCAGTACTCCATCAAAATGAATAATTACTTACTGAAGAAATTATCAGCCTGTACTATATAGTGAGACTCTATCTTCAAAGAAAGAAAGAAACTTTCATCCAAGAAAAATCCTGTATAGGAAGCCCAGTGTATGTGGAAAGCAGTGCAGGGGGCAGTGCACTCTCCTGGGGACTGTGAGAAGAATTAATGACAACAGAAGGAAAAATACATGGAAGGCAAATATTAATTCTAGGAACAATAAAAGGTTGATTAAAAAAGGAAATGAGAGCCTATCATTACTTGACTCAGTAAAGTATTTAAAACCTGGTAATAATTTATCTGCTGATTTTTTTTATTTAATTGGAAATGTAAGAATGACTACTAGTTGGGACAGGAAGACAACATCAGAGAAGACCTAAGGCTTCATTTTGGAAAATCAAAAGATTCTACCTAAAATTGATTTTTTAAATGAAGTTCAGTGCCATCAGATTATTTAAAAATGTAGGGGCACATGGGAGAGGATGCATGTGACAGATTTGGAAGTGGGTGCTTCCCTGAAGCTGCATTTGGGGCTTGTCTTCTGTTAAATATATGTAGTGATACAGAGCATGTTGCTCTGAGATGAAGATTAGTTACTACTTAAGAATTAATAAAACTTCATAAATTCTAAATCTATCATGCAGCAGCAGATGTTGTGACCCTGGGTAATGTCTTTGGGCCTCAGTTTCTCCATTGGTAAGAGAGGTTTGACCTCAGTGAGTGTGGCATAACCATCACGGCCACCAAGCGCACTAATAGCACTATATGCATATACATGGTGCACTATGGGCACTATATGCATACGCACGATCACACTCTGTGTACTATATGCATACACACGACTGCACTCCGGGCACTACAGGCATATGCACGACTGCACTCCGGGCACTATATGCATACGCACGATCCCACTCCGGGTACTATATGCATATGCCTGGCTGCACTAAGGCAATGTGGTCAAAATGCAATCTTCCAAAATACTCTAATCAATATCACTCCTTAGTTTTATTTAAAAAAACAAAAACAAAAACACCTTTTTCCCTAGATAATATGAGAAAATAAACCAAAAAAAAAAAAAAAATAGGCTATATAAAAGGAGTACAAAGGATTGGAAGAATTGGTCACATTTTGTCCTAAATCATTTTCACCAGCCAGAGAAGCAGCCAGGGAAGCGCTGCCCCTGGAGCGCCCCGCGCCCCTCCTCTGGGCGGAACTGACCAAGCGCTTGGCCAGCTCCATGCCTTCCACTGGATAGAATTCACCTCCCTGCACCTCCAGCTCGAAAGCTATTTTCCTAGCCGTGCTAACTCCCTAGCAAGAGCCGCAAAGAGGCTCTTCAAAACAGAAGGGAGATCAAGGTGGCAGCTAGATTCCAGTCCGGCTTCCTGCCACATTTTCTTTCTAATTCCTGTCTGCTCAGAGTCGGGGCCGCCCACGCAGCTCCCAGTCCCAGAGGGCTGTGTGGTTCCAGTGGTTTAGCCTCGCTTTCTCCCTGAGGCTCCGCAGGCATGGTTTGCTTTTCTTAGGAGTCAGCGATCAGCTCCACAGCACTAAGGGGCCCACTTTGAGCAGGCGAAGTTAGCTGCGTATCATTTTCAAAAACCCATTTCTTTTCCTGGCAGGAGAAATCCTGGGTGATCTGCTTTCCTTGAAGCATCAGTTCAGAAAAATGCACACGAGCGCCCCAGAGTCCCTGCCTCTATGCTGTGTGTTCAAGATGAAAAGGAAGGAGGTGTTTCCTGGGGGCGGTGGGGGTGGCAGGTACGCTTGTAGGTGGTCACTAGTCTTCCAGCTCCTCAGGTTCATCCCATGTAGCAAGTTCTACCTCGTTTAATACCTTAGCAGCCTTATTCCCATTTTACAGGTGAAGAAGCTGAGGCCAGTGGAAGCGAAGTGCCTTGTCCAGGCCAGCACAACCAGGAGCTGATAGAGTCCGATTGGAACTGAAGCCTGGGTAACTTTAAAGTTCAAATCTTTTGAACTTAAATCACTTCTCTCACCTCCACAAGAGCACTGCTCGCTTGCTGCTACCGAGGCTGAGCTGTGAGTAGGGATTAGGAATGTGGAAAGGGATTAGGGATTGATGCAGGAGATCTGGCTTGGCTGTGTATGAGGAAGGCTGAGAGAGCTGGCGGGTGACTGTGGACCTTTCCTCTTCAGGCTGCAGAAGTAGCTTCCAAACTCTTGGTCTCCTCACCCTTTGGATGGCCGATGTAGGCTTAGAGACAGCTGCGGGTGACTCTTAGGATTCTATCTTGATAGACCACCCGTCTAAGTTTGTCACAGGATGTCAGGAGCCACGTGCCAAGTTACTGGACACATGGTCTTGTGCCCTAGCAGGACCTTGCCACTTTTTGGCGGGCTTCTTTATTCAGGTCTCTCTTCCATTCCTCCCTCTCTGTCTTCTGTTTGCGAGGCTCTGACTGCTGTCACCTTTCTCCTTATTGGTCTGTGGTGTTGTTTCACCCCCCCCACCCCCCGGCCCAGAGGACTGGCATGGAATCTGGCTTGTAATACGCAGCTCTCCAGTCTGGAAACAGAATTGGCAGGACACAGGTAAGGCAGCCCTTCAGGTAGCGCTGCTGGACTCTCTGAGACCTCCGGGCCCTGTGATACATGATCCTTCCTTAGGGCAGGAAGCCCCATCTGTGGGCTGAATCAGACAGGGAACAACCTCAGCCAAAACCCCTAGGTTTTACTTTTACTTAAAAAAAAAAAAAAGTCCTGATGATGGCTATCGATGCTTTATTTCAAAATAGCATTCTTGAGTATATTCGGGAGGGGTTCAAATGTATTAAATATATATTGTAGCGATTTGAGGGAGAAGGTGCTATAGTTTGTGCCTAGTTTTCTTCCCAAAGCCTCATGCAGTCACTGGGGTGGCTTCCAGAGTTTGTGATTAATTCATGATCCAGTGTGGGGATTATAGGGGTGAGTGCTACGCCCACCCTGGGGCGGACAGCCTGAATACATATGGGGAGGGGTGGGGCTTGCTAGCTTCCCAGCTGCTGGTCCTCCCTTTGCTTTTTGCTGCTGCTTTCGGCAGTCATGAAGTGCTGCCCTCTGCCATGTGCTGCTGTCTGTCTTGGAGCCAACCAAGTATGGACTGAAACCTCTACAAACTGTGAGCTAAATAAACCCTTCCTTCCTTAATTCTGGGTGTCAAGAGAAAAGTAACCAAGACACAGGGTTAGGGTGAAATTATAGAAAAAAATGCAGAAATATGAAAAATATTTATTATAATCTCACCTACTAGAGATAAAAAGCCCTGCACTGGGGGTGTAGATCAGTGGCAGAGGATGTGCATGCACCCCCAGCAGCCCTCACAGTTATCGTTTTTGCAAGTGTGAGCTTATTTTCCAAAATGCATTCCACGTAAGTACAAGGGATGATTGAGAAATAAGCTGCATGTTTAAATTTTTAAACACTTAAAGCAATAAAAGACACATTACCAGAAATATGAAAAAAGGGTGTTTGAAGTGAGGAGGCATATGTATTTTGACGAGAATTAAATGGCAATGTGTCTTTTACTGTAATAAATATTTTAATTTAAACCTTCATCATATCTTTGACTGGTTGATTATCGTCCCTCACTGATCAAACATTTATGGAAATTTCTTTCAAATAAAGGTATTATGGTTGTCTTCACCTACACTATTCATTGGATCTGGTACTGTGTGGCTTCTGACTCTTCCTCAAAGTGAACATGTCTGTGAGGGAGAAATGCAGGGTTTTTTCTACTTAGGGATCTTTTCAAAAATAATCTCTTGGCTCCACTCTAAACTAAATGAACTCTAATAACTGGTGGAAGGGCCTGGGAATCATATTTACATTTTAATTAAGGCTGAGTTTATATACGATGGAATTCATCCTTTTTAGTGTACAGAATCATGAATATTGTCAAATGCACAAAGTCCTATAATTGTCACAATCAACAGAGAACAGTGCCATGCTCTTCCCTAATTCTCCTAGGCTTCCTTGTAGTCATTTTTTTTCTCCACCTATAGCCACTGGTCATCACTGATTTGTTTCATCTTCCTATAAAGTTGAAATCATACAGTAGGTAGCATGTTGATTTAAGCACTGTTTGCTTAGAATAATTCATTTGGGATCAATCAAGTTGGCTACAGTGTCTTGGTGTTTCATTCATTTTCCTTGTTTAGCACTATTCCATTGCACTGAGGCTCTGCTGTTTCCTTTTCTATGTCCCAGTCAACAAGCACACATTAAAGGCTCCCCAGTACTACAAATATACTTCTTGGTTGAGAATCAGAAGGCTAAGCTGCTCAGCTGTCAAATGAAGGTAATCATTATGGCCTTTCCTTTGATTCCTAACTCCCCATCCAAATTATGTTGCCTTATATCAATAGCTTTCTCCCATCCAGGTACTAGCCAGGCCTGACCCTGCTTAGCTTCTGAGATCAGACGAGACTGGACATGTTCAGGGTGGTATGGCCATAGATTCAATAGCTTTCATGATCCAGCTTGGTGCCTTTCGGACTCAGATTCTCCTTGTGGCAGCCTCTCTCCCTAGCACATTTGCCTGTCTCCCTCAGGGACCAGTCTTCCTACTGTTCATTGCACTCATTCATCAAATGCATACCTTCCATATCCAATTGCTCATAAAATTCCCCGTGGATGCTTAAGATGACAGCATCAAAGAGATAATTAATGTTGATGCAGAAAAGAACAAAATTTGGATTAATTCTGTGATGATATATTAGCCAAGATTCTCTAGAGAAAGTAACAGAATAGCATGTGTTTATATGATTCTTGTTGGTTTCCTTATATGTAAAATATATAAAAATATATAAATCTATGCACTGGCAATGATAAACATGAAATTCGAGTGACTGTTATCACAGAGGGAATGATCCTGTGGAAATAGAGGCATGTAACATCTTTAATCTAGAACCGGTCAGGAGCTGTGCATTCTGGGTGATTTGGCGGGGAGGCGCTTGGCGTGAGACATCCTAAAGCAATGCGTCCATTGGTCACATAGTGTGAACACACCTAATTATTGTTCACTGATGAATACATTAATGAAAAGTTTTGCCTTCCACTGGGAGACAAATGTGCTGCGCACACACAGGGGAGCACTGCTCTGAAGGAGGAATTTGGGTCACCTGAAGGAAAAGCGGTGCGATTTAAGACTGCTTTTAAGTAATGCTCAATGAAAATAAATTAGGCATACAAGTTTGAGCATCACGTGGTTTCCTATAGGAGAAACTTGAAGTGTAAGTAGAATAAAGAGCAAGATAAATGATAGATAATAGTAAACAGGAATACAGATCTTTACAATGGGAGAGAGAATGGGGAAGGGGGTAGAAAGAATTAGGAGGTGTTATGTGTCTGGGCCAACTCCCCACAATAAATATAAGCATATAGCCTGGAAACATGTATCAATCAAAATAGAAATAAAAAATAAAAGCACATATATTTTGCATTCATCAAATGAAAATATAAGTGACATAAATCAATTAAGGTGCTCCCCAACATTTTCTAAAGTCAGCCTTCTCCTAATCCTTATATGACATCTGTGTTTTGCCACACAATCAACCCTCCTTCCAACTATTAGTGTCATCATGGTTCGAGAAACAGAATCTATAAAAGGAGATCTGGGTGCCGCGCTTTCAGTTTGCCGTTGACTGCAGCTAACCTACTTTCAGTCAGTGCTTCTGGGACACAGCTCTCGTTTCTGGCATGTCCCCTCCCCACTCTCTCCTCACAGCCATTTGACGCTCCTGAGGGTCAGAAGCATTTCCCAGTACTGTCTCCATAATTAGCCCCCATGCTTCTGACACCATTCAGCAGGTCTGTCCCTGGTACTTGCGATGCTGGCAGTGACAGCTGTGCATGCCAGCCACGTCCCAACAGCTGCTGTATGACTCGACTGCTTATGAAAAGAACCCCTAATTTCTGAATTAGGAAAATATGAAAAAAGCCACTTATACTGTAAAAACAGTGAAATGTAATAGTTGTCATTTGTGGATAAAAATCTATAGAGAAGGCTGAGAGTGTAGCTCAGTGGCAGGGATTGCCTAGCAAGTGCGAGGCCCTAGATTTAATCTTCAGCCCTAATTGGGAAAAAAAACCTATGTAATTGAGGCTGGCAAGATAGCTGCGACTGGGAAGATAGCTCAGTAGAATAAGATGTTGCCTGGCAAGTGCAGAGTCCTGAGTTCAATACCCAGTACCATAAAAACAAACAAACAAAAAAAACCCCTATGAAATAGCTGTACAACTGTATCCACTGACAATGACAGATACCAGTTCAGAGGGTTGCTATCCAGAAGGAGTGGTCATGTGAGGATGGGGGATACAGCTGTGCTGGGAAATGAGGCCACAGCTTCCAATGAGTTACCCATGTTTTGTTCTTGAGGCTACAGGGCTATGTGTTTCCACACTTCTTGTGTGTGTGGCTGGCTCAGCCTGCCCTGAGGGCGGGGCTGGCATGGCATGTGGAACTGGGGATTGACCCACAGTCCCTGTGCGCTTGCCTAAGCAGGCGCTTTAGACCGCTGACTTATCTTGCCAGCCCCCTCTACACTCTTTGTATGACAAATATTTCACACTAGGAAAAGAGAACTGCCATGTTGAGGTAATTTTATTATTAACTATAACTATAAATGAGGATAAAAATGGTTACTAAGAGCATGATCTCATGAAATGACACAACCTAATTATGTGTGGCAGGTGGTTACAACAGTGCTCCAAACGATCAGGGCTCTCTGTGTCTACATTCTCTGCCACTTCTCCTACCAAGTGGCGACTTCTTTTTCCCATCCTTGGACTAGGCCTGCCTTTGGGACTAATTGCAATTAATAGCACATGGCAATGCAACATCATGCAGATTCCAAGGCTTACACCTGGGGAGTCGCATAGCTTCCTTGTAATGCTCTGCCCAGGAACAAGGACGTATGAATCCAGTGTGACATTCTAAGCACGAGGACCTCTGCACAAATCATTCATACACCATTCTTTGCAGTAAAACCTTGGGAGACAGCTAAATGCCCATCAAAATAGAATGAATAAGATGGTTATATAGATCACGATATATATATATATATATATATATATATTTCAAGATGAATGTAATTATTATGTATCATAAACATATACAAGTTTACAAAAGAAGCTAAATAAAAGTCACATCAAGAAGGAACAAGAGACCACTGAACCAGCTATCAGACAGGAGTGAGGCCATCCTGGACTCCCAGCCAAGTGCAGTAGACAACTATAGGGATCCCCAGTCCACTCTGAGAGTCATGAAAAATAACATTTAATCATTGTCTTGGGCCCACTGTGTTTCAGGATGAGCTGTGGTGACCCACAAAGTCTC